ACTTCACATAGTACTTCCCAGCACGATTATTTCATCCCCCATTAAATATGCATATTTCATCAGTGCCCCATATTTTTGATTTCTAATTATAAACAAAATACGGGAGATTGGAGTATCACAAAAAACATACAGATAAAAGCAGTTAATATGAAAAAAAAGGAAAACCTATTCTCATATTAAAATTCTGTAAACTGGCCCCTAATTGTTAATCTTTTCACATGTGTTGACTTTCCATGGATATAAATGGAAAATGAAGGAAAATCTACTACATTTTTTAGAAAATGAGTGCAAATTATATATTATCTCACTTTGCTGTTAAATCTTTAGTCTTCTCTGACTAAACTTAAAGGCAGACAGAGGCAAACAAACAGCTGCAGACACACTCTCTGCTACAATACAAGTCAATAAGCATTGTTTCAACATAGAATATAAAAGATGTGTTATTTTTCACTTTGTGACTTACTGTCTAAATCCCTTCAGAACGCATTAAGCAGAACTGATGACCAGTTTATCTGTTTGTGTACTTTTGGTATCTCCTCGTGGTTCTAGACAGCTTAAGTTGCTTTTCAAAGTAATAAATTTAGCATCAATTAATTAATCCCTTGAGATCTAATGAAGCACTTAAGAGATATTGTGCAGTATTTCCTTATTGAATGTATATAGAAGTTGAGCTGTTGCTATGGGGAGCTAACTTTGAATTCTCAACAAGCAAATTTGCCAAGTCCCACACCTGATCAATTTAGATGATATATGGTCTTTTCGATAGCCCAGAGTATTATCAGTCTTCCATGCGCAGTAATTAGATAATTGTTGTTTAGCTGACTTCTGCCTGTTTTTGCTGCAGCGTGAGTATGAGAGGAAGAAGAAGGAGGAGGGCAAGAGAGCCCGAGCTGACAAGCAGCAAGTGTTGGACATGTTGTTTTCTGCTTTTGAGAAGCATCAGTACTACAACATCAAAGACTTAGTGGATATCACCAAGCAGCCTGTGGTAAGACTTGAGAGCTCGGTTATAACTCATTTGAAACAGTACTATTGGCTCAAAAAGCTACTTTTACATTTAGCTTTAATTCTCAAGAATATTATCTCATATTGTTTTTCTTCTCAGATTTACCTGAAGGAAATCCTGCGTGATATTGGCATCTACAATGTGAAGGGGACACACAAGAACACCTGGGAGCTCAGGCCAGAGTACAGACATTACCAAGGCGAGGAAAAGACTGATGAATAGTTTTTGAATCCAAAGGTCAATACATGCTTTCCACTCAGAGGAGGGATTTCCTCTTAGATCAGAGCTTGGTTTGACCTGGTTTCTGTACATCAGGTCTGAAGATGCACTGGACAATGAGGTGGAGTTTTGCAGTCCCATCTCATTCTGTAGGAACAAAAATAAAGGGCACTATGGAGAAATCAGAGGTTAGGCCACTGCTTTTTCTGATGTGGTTCCCTTTCACAGCTTGAGTGTGCTCATTAGTGTTTTAAGAAGTAAAGGATCTATGACTTGAGGTTGAAAGCAGTGGATAATGTTTTTAAGTGTTTTGTATATCCAGAAATATGGGGTTTAATGTGGAGAGGACAAAATTTTTTTAGAAGAGAAACAGTGTTACTATTGGTATAGGTTCCACTCAGATTTTTGTGACGTTTCTTTTACAAGTCCGTTTTTGTTTTTTTCTTCAATGAAACATGGCTCATCAGTTTTCCACACCACAACAAATTGGATCCACAATTTGTGATCTTTACTCCAGGTGTCTTCTTATAACCCACCTTTTGTATTATTTTAGGTTGTTTTATATTTGGTTGACTTATGCAATAAAGTGTTTTTTTTTCAATAGAAAACTTGTTTTTTAATTATATTTTCATAGCAGCCAGCTTAATACTTGATACAAAAGCATAAATGTGAAACCACAGTGACGACAAATCAGCATTGACCCAACGCAGCCACCCACTTTGGTCTTTTCAGTCTTTCAGTTACTGTCGTCTTCCTATCACTTCTAAGTAGTCTGGCCATTTTCCTGACATCAAGATGTCAGACCTGTAAATCCTAGAGATGGTTGTGAAGAATCATCCCACTGGACCAGCAGTTTCACTTAAAACAAAACAACTTTACATTTCTGATGTTTGAATTTCAGTAGGTAATCTGCATACCTAAATGCCTCGACTCATTTTGCGATTGGCTGGTGTAAAAAAAAATAAAATTTACCAAGAAGGAAATATGAGTATGAACATATTGAGAGTGACTGTTAGTTCAGTGAGTTATTTGTAAAGAAAATAATTTTCACTAGCAATCAAACTAACATGTACACACATCTGCATTTTTATTCTAAATACTAACAAATATAGCAGAAGTGCTATACTTCAGTGTGGACTACAGTAAAAGGCATTCAGTACATTTATATAAAACTGGTAATAGGTGGTCAGTTTGATATTACTCATTACTGACATTGAATACCCATATTGAAATTTATTCCCCAGTGACAGGTGGTACCTGCCTTTGGGAATGGCTGTAGTTCAGCTATATGGCAGCGCAGCCACCAGTCTAGTATTTTGAAAGAGAGTCAACTATAGTTACAATAATCCAAGAAAAATTCCTAATTGTCACTTTACAGTGACTTACTGATGCACGGTTTTCTGTATTAATGTAGGGTCTTTACAGTATGAAGCCCCATGAGGCTGGAGTTGTAAAGTGTTGAATACTTTCCCACAGACTTAAACTTTTACTTTCACAAAAGTACTCATGAAAATACGGTTGAATAATTTTATTTAAATAAAAAAATAAAAATAAAAAAAAGAGTCAGGTTTATACAACACAAATCTTGCTGGCAAATGAAGACCTGCTATAAATGCAGCACTGAAACCACAACATGACAATTACAAACTTGCTCTTCGGTTTCTTTGGCAACAGAGGAAGTGAAGATGTCCCACTGGGCCAAGCTCCATTTGCTTTTTACAATGCATCCCACTCATTATCTGTAAGAAGGGGTAAAATATTAAATAAAAATATTAGAAAATGTAAACATCCAACTGCATAAAGATATCAGCAATCCTGCAATAAACAATTTAAAGTAAGATCTCATCAATGCCTTCAGTCAACAGTGACCACCACAGTCTGTCTAGAAACCACTACCCTGTAAATCTGTCTTGAAAGCATGTGCAGGTATTAATGTATTTAGTGGGTGAATACTTAAAGCTGTCACGTCACACCACGTATCCCCATGTGAACCCAACCTTTGACCATTCCTAACAAGCTTAAAATGTATTCCTCTATTCAATCTGTGCTGCTATAAAAATGAAGCAGTCAGAAAGCGCAAGGAAGGCTCAGTTTAGCATCTCTATGCAAACCCAGAAGCCAAAGAAGTCTGCTCCAGGTCTATCAGTGGATGCAAATTCATGTACAACCCCAGTTAAAACATTTTAAGCGCTCACCAGCATTCTCAGCGTTGGTCCACAGCTTGTCAGCCTCTCGCAGCTCTGGTTTTATTACCCCGTGCCTTATACATATCCTTCATACGTCTGAAGGAGGAAAAAATTTTTATACATGATACAGTCTCTTTACAAGAATATGTAATTAAGGTTTTTGTGTGCTGGCATGTTAAAACAAACATTTTATCCTCCCTTCTTCAATCTGAGACGCCATGGAAAATGAGCGATCAGAAAGCGCAGGGACATTTAATATTACATCTAAATGTTATAACCCAGGAACTCACAGCAGAGAGCCCAGGCTGTCAAAGATGTGGTCCGAGGACAGGCTTGGTCACTTTACTAAACAGTAGCAAAGTCGTTACAATGTAAACTCAATACATACATGTTCGCACACTGCTTGTCAGCTGTCGTCTCAGGTCATGTAATACACAGCTACTGGCATCACTAGTGCATCATGCTGAAACACATCAGTCATCCGCAGCTGGCTCATACAGGTATTCAGCCAGCGGGATGATCTGCTTTAAAAGTGCGAAAAAATACGTTAAAAAACGCTTTAACACTTAATCAAGGTCAGAACAGGTTTAGCAGATATGCGCATGGAAAATATTAGTTACAAAGCTCATGTTAGAATTAACATGAGCTAACTAGCAATAATGGAGCACATCCGGTGCTATGCTAAATCTGGTATCGTTAACGAGTATCCATTAACCTTTCTTAAAATCAGCTCTCTCTCATGGCACGAGGCATCATATTTAGCCCCGTGTTACTGCTCATTTCGCTCACTTAGCCGTTAGTCTGGGGCAAAACTAAGAAGCCGGGATTATTTTGCACAAAATATTTTCTAACTCGTGACACAAAATGGCTCGAGCTCATTTTACACGTGTCCGTTGATTCACCATAAAACTCAACAGAACAGACGTCACTAACTTAGCTGTCTTTAACTCAACAGGGCGCCTGAATATACTTACAGTAGGTCATGTCAGGTAAGGTGAATGAGTCGCCGAGGTTACGCATTATAAAGTTCACAAGAACGCCTTTCACTTGCTGCAACACACGAGAGCACAGGCAGCGAAAGGACTGCTCTGAGGTTATCATCCGGATTATAAAGGATGCCGGTGGCGGCTCATTGTCGCCCCCTTGAGGCCGGTTAGGAACTTGTAATTTGCGCTGTCGTCCCCTGGTGTTCAAAATGGATCACGGCATGTATTTAACGTAATGTCCGAGTGCGCTGCTTTGATATTCACTCCAGCTTCCTTAGAAAATTACACGAAGTTAGGCTACTCTTAAAATAATTATCAAAAACTAATTTAAATGAGTTTGAGCACAAACTATTATTAGCTGGCCTGGCATAGTATGAGAGATATAGATTACAGCGAATAATAAAAAATAAAAAATGGCAGTTTCATTAAGTTCAAACATCAAAATGGGATAAAGACACAAAAAACATAAAAGGATAGGATAAGATGTATCAAATGCATAGACAGATTTCCATCAAATGTGGAACACAGGGCCAATGCGCATGTGCAAGACGACCCCCTTCTCCCATCATTTTCTGGAGGTGAAACACTTCTTAATTGGACTCCGCGAGTTTAAATGCTCCTCCATCAGCTTCCTGTGGATATATGTGAGGACATGGAGGCATCAAAGAAGACTTAAGAGCAGGTAATCTGGGAATTTTGGGATGCTAATTTTTTTCATATCTAGCTTACTATAATAATTCGTGCAAACTATTTGTTAAAGACTATATATATAGATCATGGTATTAAAATAAAAACACCATTTAAATGTGGCAGCTGAATTAAGAACTAACAGCGGGGGTAATTTTGTCTGAATAATGTGCCCCTAATTCAAATGAACATTTAACTTTTTTTCCCTTCCACAGTCAGTAGACGGTGAAGCAACAGCCCAGCTATGTTCAGAGCAGTTTTTGGAAACAAGAGAGATGGAGGAGGAAAACGAGGGGAGAAAAAGAGCCAGAGGCACTCAGGTAGAAACAAAACCACTGGAAGTACCAGTGAAGCAAAAACGAGGCATGCATGCTGAACAAAATAATATTGCAACTTTTAGCAGATGTTTTTTTTTAACTGAATGCCCCTTTTGTTTGGAGGTCACAATACTGTAAATGGAAAATGTATGTTATGTTGTGCACACTCATTCTGGTGTTGTTTGATGGTAATATTCAGGTTCTCTCTTCTCTTGGGTGATTTAAGTAGAGTCATTTCAATTAGCCTAATTCATCAGTGTTCCGTCCTTCACACAGTGTCCCGGTGCTTGAATTTAAAGTGTGTCAGACGAAGTTAGAGTGGGTTAAGCAAACATCCTGACCTACTAAACACACGTTGAACACCAGAAGAATTTGTGAGTCCAGCAGATGTATCTGTGCACTTGGCATGAGGCTGTTGTGTCTCCTGTACATGAGTTCAGTGTTCTTTAGGATTCTCTGTCTCAGATGAAATGAAGCTGTTTGTTTTTTAATTTTTTTTTATTTTTAAAGTGTACACTTGTCAACTCGCTGCAGTAAAGATGTGATTCCAGAGTGTGTTGCGGAGATACATAAACATAAGTAGAGCTGGGTATTAGAGCAACCATGTTGCCCATCAATATTTGATAGTGTGCTCCACTGGGTAGAAAGAACAGAGAGGCTGATAGAGAACTGTGTCAGTCTCATTAAAATGATAAAGTGTGTTTACAGTACACTGGCTCTTCTCTGATCATTTGCAGAGAGATGCCACTTTCTGCCTCCTTCTTTAAAGCTTGCCATTAAAAGGCTATGATCATTCCACACTTTCAGGGATTATGCAACAGCATAATAGATGAATTCATAGATTAGGCAATGCAGTTCTGACTACTTATTTGGCTAGTGGTAAAACACACTCATTCAAAGAAGAAGGTAGTAAATTGCTTAATTTTGCTACAGGGCAAACTATGGCAATGATATATAATCAGTATATAAGTGAGTCTCTCTAATCACATGGCTTTGGGAATTATAATGTCTCTTTAAAGGCTGTAATAAGAGTGGATATGAAAATGATTGAAGTATTAAGAGAGAATAACTGTAGCCAGTTTAATGAGCGTGATCCCAATTCTTTAAATAGATGATCCAGCAATGCCAACTTTCCATTACCTCACTGGGAAATATGCCTGGAGACACGATGTGTTTGCTGTGTCGCAGCCTTCTGTGAGACATATTTAATAGGCTTATTCTCTTCTTGTGATATCCTAGATCTACTGTAACTGCACTAACTCTGCTTTTACCTCAACACCTGCCCACCTCTGTCTTCTCTCTACACCCGCCTATGCGTTCCACGCAGGTGACGAGGTGTATGCCCACAGCACCTTGCAGAGAGGCAGCGGCCAGCGCGCCTCTCACTTCCAGGACCACGATGGCGGCTGCACCAAAAACTCAGCAAAACAGAAGAGACTGACCAAGGGCGTGTCCATTTCTTTGCCCTCCTCCCCTCTTCTCCCTCACCAGGCCGACATTGTTCCCTCCCAGTCGTGCAGCAAGTTCCCAGGTGGGTTCACTTGAGATGATCATCCAAACAAAAGCGTGGTCTGGATGTGCTGTATGTAACTGAGAGTGACAAGGAGGTGTGCGTCAGGGACTAGCTGCAAAAATAACAGCATGCTTTCACGGGTTTGCCTTGATTAGCGGGGATCGTCTGTGCGTTCAGCTGTTCCATACATGTGACAGAAAATCCAAGTGCATACAGACCGTGCCTCTAGGGCTCAAAAGCATGTTGACAGATTGTCAGAGTAAATAATTAAGTGAGATAACTTAAGGCAAGAAACCTCAATTAGGTGGGTCATTTTTGAAATATTGTACTATTTTGGATCAATGTGTAAGATATTAAGTCACATTTTTGGTCACGATGAAAGAGAAAATAAACCAACCATTAATTTGAGGCCAGCTTATTATCACATGCATCACATCTACTGTTGGCATGACAAACAAAATGTGTTTTTACTTATTCAAACAACTGTGAATTGGGGCACACGTTAGCCGACAGACTGAAATCCATTTCATGTGATCTGTGTTTGATTGTTGCAGAAAAGCATTGTTACCTGGCATTGCCTTTTCTCTTGATTCCCATATTTCCTGTCAATCTGTCTCATCAAAGCTTCAATAAACCAAAAATGACAAAAAGTGCAGAAGCAGAATCACGTGACGTGATTCAGTTATGTGATAAAGAAACTACGTCCTCTTTGAATTCGAAGGTTTTACGTATCAGGATATCCTTTTAAAAATGACCTTGTCGTTAGCAGATTATAAAATAATTTACACGCAGCAGCAACATGTGTTACACTGTGTATTTATTGTCATATAGCAAAAACTGAGCCAGAGTGCAGGAGCAGTGTGTGAAAAACTAAGTAAACCCCAGTAGCTTGTAAAACCAATTCTACCAGCAATAACTTGGTATGACTTTATCAGGCTCTCACATTGTTGGAGCAATTTTGTCCCACTCTTCTTTACAGCATTGTTTCAGTTCATTGAGGTTTGTGAGCATTTACTCGCAGACAGCTCTCCTGCTGCAGTATTTCAGTTTGTTTGCAGACTGGGCTTTGACTGGGGCATTTCATCATCTCGATTCTTTTCTTTTTTAAGCCATTCTGTTGGAGATTTGTTGCTGGGCTTGGGATCATTGTCCTGTTGCATGAACCAGCTTCAGTTTTAGCTGTCAGAATGGTTTCACATTTGACTCTTGAATACTTTGGCGTTCAGAGGAGTTCATGGTCAATGACTGCAAGGTGTCCAGCTCCTGTGGCTGCATAGCAAGCCCAAATCATCACCGCTCCACCACCGTGCTTCACAGCTGCTATGAGGTGTTTGTGCTGATATGCTGTGTTTGGTTTTCTCCGAACGTGGTGCTGTGATTCATCTCCATGTTGGTCTTATCTGTACAAAGGACATTGTTCCAGAAGTCTTGTGATTTGTTCATATGTAACTTTGTAAACCTAATCTATGCCGACATGTGCTTTCTCCTGTAGACCCTTCCCAACAAGTCATGCTTATTTAATCATTTTCTAATTGTACTGTCATGAACTTTAACATTTAACATGTCACCTGAGGGCTGTAGAGTCTGAGATCATGCAGTACTCAGTTCCTCTGAGTGGATTTGTCAGGGATGTCCACTCCTGGAAAGACTGCCCTGCATGTTTTCCACTAGTGGTGTTCGGTGTAGTATAATCGACTTGAAGGGCATTTATTTAAGTGCATTTGATAGCAGCACCCCCTGCTAACAGATGCACTTCCTATGGAAGCACTAAAGGTCTCCTTCACAAGACTGCTACTGTGTTTTGCCTTAGTTTATGTTACATAAATAATGACATATTGTAATATTTATGTGATGTTGTTCTTCTGAGAATGTATTCATCTACTTTACTTTCTTCTCATGATATGTAAAACCTTAGATTTTAAAAAAGGTGTAGTTACTTTTTGCGGATTTACTTTTTCAATGTCATTAAAGTTACACTGTGATTTATATTAAGGTACCACTTAACTACCTGTAAAATGCTAATGCTCAGTGTATGCAAACTGGTACTTTCAAATTTTCTTTATTGTTTTTGAAAGCTCAGTTGTAGGTCACAAAGCAACCTGCTTGTATATACTGGTTAATGTCAGGTTTAAGGTGAGCAACTCTGTACGTACAGCATTCTTCATAGTACGTCAATCAAAAGAAATATTAGAGCACAAATTTTATAGTATCTTATACGGAAAGTTCCTTGATTTGCATATTCTTTTGTGAATTTTAAATATTTTAAAGCTTATAAATACATGGAACAAAGAGTAAATATTTTCAGTAGTAATAATCTTAAAAAAAACCCTCATGTTCTGCGATATTTTCCATATTTGAATCCATCTAAATTTGCTGCATGTAAGAAAGTTAACTTTACATTTACTGACCTTAGAGGGAACACCAGGTGGCAGTGTGCTGCAGTAAGTACAGCCATTCAAAAAAAGGTGCTATTGCATTTCATTACATGTAGCACTGCCTTGTTTTCCCACCCGAGCAAATATGAGATTGAAAATTGCAGTAAGTGAAAAAATATATCTAAATCTATATTAGAGTGTCATGGCTTTTGTTTCTTTGGCGATCAAATATTGAACGGTATGTTAGACTTCCGAGTGTTTCTGAGTTGATTCACATGCGTGATTCAAACACTAAGAAGCCTTGAGTATTAAAAAAAAACATGTCAGTGTACGCAAACATCTCATCCTCAAACGGGCTCCAGTGCTGAAGAATCTGCACCTCAAAAAACACTGAGATATTGCATAAAGTGAGACACACCCACACACATCAGAGTGCACCGCTGTCCCTACCACACACACACACACACACACACACACACACACACACATTTGTGGTGTTAATATATTATAGATATCCGCCCACAGTCCAGTGAATGTTGCACTGTTTGTATTCATGGCTTACACTGTATACATTCTTCTTTATACTCATGGGACACAATTCAAATTCTGCACCACAGATCTCATCTGAGGAGGCTTAATTTCTCTCTCTCTCTCTCTGTGTCTCTCTCTCGCCCTCCCTCTCTCTCACTTTCTTTCATATCCCTCCCTACCTCCACCCTCAATCCATCCCCCCTCCCACCCTGCCTGCTCTCCCTCCCTCCCTCCCTCTCCCTTCTGCCTCTTTGCTGTGGCCAAAGGACGGGTAAGGAGGCTGGAGTATGTGGATGGCTCTTCCAGCGCAAGAGAGCCACTCGTCTTTGCCTCATGCCGTGGCAAAGCAGACCACAGAGGTGAGAACGGGAGCGTGTGGGCGTGGGTATAGCATCGTCGTGTGTGTGTTTTGTTTTGTTTTGGCAGGTGTTGATCAGTGGAGCTGAATGAGAATAGGGCTATAGGTGAGAGAGAATGAATGAGAAAGAGATTCAAGAGAAAATGAGGGCAGGTTAATTACATCTAAAAGGCTTTGCTGAGTTTTTTTCCTCTGTAAGATGTATATAAGGATAGTGGTGCCTGTGTCATTTTCATGGGATGGCTGAGAGTGGATTTGTTTTATTCCAGTTTCTCTTGAGTCGTTGCCCTGGCTTCTTTGTATGCTGCTTTACACAGTTAAGGTTAGCAATAATGGTGTAAACACTGACCTCTCTGCCAGCTTTCTCTGTGTTTCTGGCCAGAGGGCTACCCTTGGGCTAAACAGATTTCACGAGGCATCTTCCATCCTGGTTGCCAGGCACCTCTCAGCTTCCCGTTTCCAATGGCAACTGCTAGGTGGTTTGATGAATAGAACTGGACATTCGGTGTGTCCTCATGTTACTCCAGATTGGATCGCAGTGCACTGCTGACTAAATGCAAAGTTTTCCCTCCTCCCCCCTCGCTGCAATACACATCCTGCCCAAATATTCAGCAGATGCCCAAGCTGTGAAAAAAGTACCAACAAAGGCTACACTAAGGAAGGTTGTAACTGGGGCACCTTCCAAAACAAAACAAAACAAAAAGCAGACAAAAAAAAAAGACCACACTTGATTCTCAGAACTGACCCTTTTCCTCTCAGGGTTTGACTTGTGTTTTGTACACAATTTGTTTGTCTGTAAGAGTGATGTAGTGTCTTTAAAGCGTGAGAGTGAGCCAGAAAGAGAACGACTGAGTGGAATGTGATGTCTAAATGAAAAGATGTTTGCGTGGAGGAGTGAGCTGTTCCTGTAATCCATGATGTCCTGTCATCCTGTTTATATGCCTACTCAATATGCATGTTACTCAGCTGATAACAGCACACAGATGAGGTGCGAGAATGAACGAATGTATTGCTCGTCCGGGTAAAGCGCAGAGACGCGAAAACTGTTTACTTGCTGAAGTAAGCATGGACCTTAAAGGAGCAGGGGTTGGAGGTCAGAGCATAGGGGAGCCTTAAACAGTGATAAATGAATGCTGCACATGGCCTTTGTCAGCCAGTCTCTAGGAACGACAGTGGAGGCAGAGCCGAGGCACTCCTTTCTGCTCCAGAGTCGACGCCGAGCTCATTGAAATTCACAACCCGTCTCTTAACCGAGAGCACCTGGCAGGCGTGAGCACGGGCAAACTCACAACCTCACACAACCTCTCGCTGCTGCTGCGTCAACCCGGGGACTGGAAAGCCACTGTCTGTGCATCCGTAATCAGTGCAGCTGGGGCTGCGCTGACCTGTGGATGCATACATTTCTTTCAGTCCACTGCCTGATGCTGCTGGGTGGGAAGCTCTAAAAGGGAGCTGTGCTCAATCTGCAGCATCGGTTTGTCGGTGGCTTCATTTGGCCCGCTGTGTTTTTTTCATGCTTGTTAATCCCTGTGTCCCGAATGTGTGTATGCTCCAGACCTCCACGTGGAGCCACAGCCTGGCTCCTCCCTCTCTAACCAGGAACTAATGACCAGACTATGCTTCTTATTGGGAGAAACAACGCCCGGTACTGCTAGCTCTCCTATGGAGGACAGGAGGGAAAAGAAGGTAAGGCCACATATTGATTAACTGGCCCCATACTGCCATGGCATAGAAAAGGAGAATGGATGGTGTAAAAGAAAAACAACGATTGCCCTCACGATCTTCTTTATTGAATCAAGCTTATTAAAGATAATTAGACTGCATTTTAAAATGCAGTTGCACAGAACTCATTGTGTACTGTGTGAGTGTGTGCTTTGAGCACTCAAATCACTCTGTATGTATTTTGCATCATTATTAATTGCTTTGCCATGTGTCCGCATGGCTTTTACACTCAGTGCCTGATTAGTTTAAGCTCTGTGTATAAAGAGTTATTGTTTGTGCGAATGTCTTTCGATCTTTTTGCCTTTGCATGCTTCAGCCATGGCCCATTTTCGCAGCCTCATTCCACCACCTGAGCTCCAGATTCAGTCAGTTTCACAGAGATAGCAAAGCTCATATGAGGAATGTGGGTTGTCCTGGCTAAGATAGATGAGGCTTTGGTATAAAGGGAATAACAGTGAGCTGTTTAAACTCTGCTGCCTTGTCTCCATACATTCTCTGTGTTGCAGAAAGGTTGCATCAGTAATGAAGAGACCTGAAATGCACGTGATCAAATGAAAGGATAAAAGACTCCTTTTTGTTTTTTGCGCCCGTCTGTTAAAAAAATGTGAATTCAAACATTTTTCAATTCTCGCTCCCTTAATTGGTAAATGCTATGAATTTTTATATGATGTAGACATGTATTTTTAAAGACCAGTGGAGAAACTCAATAGATTAAAAGCATTCATTAAAATGTACGAGCTAGAACCAAGACCCCTTTGACAACCTAAAGAAAAACGTCACAGTCTTTCTTATATAATGTAACTCACCGCAGTGCTGCTGTAGTGATGTGCACTTGCTATTATGTGTGCATATGTTTTTTCTGTTCTCTCAAAAGGTGAGTTTAAAAGTTGAAGGCTTTTTTATTGATGGGTATGATAGAAGATTTGTTTTCATTACTGCATCCATTTTTTCCAGCCTGGCCCTTAGCTTTGTAATTTTTTTGCACTATTAACCCCTTAATGTCCAATGTATCATATTTTATACATTTTATACAGTTTTTCTTACTTCTGCATCATAAATATGATTTTTTTTTCCTAACGGGAAAACTTAAATTCCACAATATGTTTTTAAATGATAAACTGCAGAAAAATGCTGAATGTAACAAATATATAACAAATTAAAACTCCTATATTTAAGGTTTAATTAACACTCAATTTATAAATAAAAAAAAAAATAGAAATTTCTGGCAAGTATTTCATGTTGCAGGCTTTAAAGGGTTAAATACTTACTTCCCATGTTATAGTTATTGCATTGGCAAGTATGCGAAGTCAGGTCTGAGTATCTTGAATTTACTCATCAGAGGTGACTTAAAAAAAGTTGCGTGTTCGAAAAGCGAGTATAATACTTGCCTTTTTCGATTTCCCTACTTAAAATTTAGGTGTGCTGTTTTAATCAGTAACATCGTTTAGACTGATGCCGTGATTTCTTTTTTGCACTTTTTTGTCTTTCCTCTGTGTGGTACATCGCAAAAAACCCCAGAGCGTGGTAAATTCTGAATGTCTGCAGTGATTGATTTTAGTTTTGACGACAGCCAGTCATCTTTAGAAAAAAGGAAAAACTGGGAAATGACAGCAAGGATGAAAATAACTGGAATTATCTTTTCAATTCCCATCTGCATGCACGCTCAAACATATTCACTCACTATTGCAAATAACGCTGCGCAAGAAGGCCAACAGTGTCACGAGGAGTGAAGTGCTGTTAAAAGGTTTGAAATTGGCACTGCTAATTTACTCCACTTTCAACATAGAGGAATTTCACTTAAACATGCTCAAATATTGTTCCACAGAACCTTTTTTCCACCTTTATTTATGGCTTAACTTTTTCTAACCCTTTCTCTTCTCTGGTTTTTTTTCCCCAGTATGATTCCTCTGCTCAGGGGGGGAGTCCCAGCTCCACCCTGACCTGCAGCACAGCCTCACCCTGCTCAGAGAGCCCCTCGTCCACCCTGAGCACCAGTGCGGGAGGCCAGTCTTTGCCCCAGCCTTTACCTTTACCTTCTCCCCACTGTGGCTCTAGCAGCAGTCCCAGTGGAACCCTCTCTAGCCCTGCATCCAGCCCAGCCCCTTGCCCTCCTTGTGGACTCATGACTGGGAGCAGTCCAGGGCCTCCATCTCAAAGCCCCACCTCAACGTTGGAGAGCAAGGATAGTGGAATTATAGGTGAGAGCTGCTGCTGCTCTGTGTCTCCAGATGGTATCTGTTCATATTACAGGACTTCAAATTGTGGTTTTTTTTTCTTCTTCTTCTTTTTTTTTTACACATAGTGACGCACGTCCAACACAGATGCCTAGTCGTGCATCATCAGAAGTTTAAAAAAAAAAACGGTTAGCTAAACAAACATGGGCTATAATATGGAATCGGGAAATGAAATATGACTCTCCTGGTGTTTGCCACACCTTCCTACAATCTCAAAGTTAGGGAGATGCAACATCACTATCTATGTAAAATGTGCACCTCTACCCCACAGCCAGTTTCTCTGTTTGTCTGTGCCACTTCAGCCTTCAGGCTTCAGCTCCCTCCTGTCAAAACTGGGACACTGCTGTCTTTGTTGCTTACGGGTCTGATTCTCCCAAAATAGGACACTTTTTTTTTCTCTTTAAATAGAGTTTGTATTTATAGTTGAACACAAAAAGGTAGAGGGCTCATCAAGTACAATGAAACTTATTGATTGATGACTTGTGAGTAAAACAAAAAAGGGTGTATTTCATTGTAGATTGAATAAATGTGTTTTTGATGATGTTGAAGCTATTGCTTAACTTTTTGTCTTTAGTCATTTATGAGGATGTGCATATAAGCAGTCACATGCCAGATGTTGTTGTTTTTTTTTTCTTTTCTTGGCTCTGTTAACCATATTTTTCTTTCCGCTGCACAGCAACAATCACTAGTTCTTCTGAGAATGAGGAGCGCAGCACCTCCACTGAGGGTCTGGGTAAGGACGAAGGCCCAGAGGGAAGTGGCGGCGTAATGGGCCATACAAATGAGGACCGCCATCCCAGGCCAACCAGGGACAATCTCACAACCCAGCCAGATGAGGCCTTACCTAGAATGGACATCATGGAGCCCAGAACTCCACCAGCACCGAAAAGGCCCCTCCCACAGCACCATTTGCACAGCACCTCCTCTCTTGCGCTGCCCCGTCCAAACTCAGTAGCAGGTACCCAGGTTCTCGTTCTTTCTTATTCTGCGAATTAAGAAGCGGTTATGACTTTGAGAGAGATTTGGGATTGTGCACCTTCTCAGCTGCTGATGGATTAATACGTTTCATATCTCCCAGTTTCATATGAAGCTGGCTGTCTATGAGCCAAGCTAAGGGAATCTTAAGGGAATACAGTTTGGCTAATTACTGCGTATTTCCTAGGGTCTTGCTGTCACCTCTAAGTTGTTAGTCAACCAACAAACATTCCAGGAAGTTAATTTTCCCGGCCAAGAAATAGTCCCACTCATTACCCCCAACACGCAAAAGCAAAAAAAGCAAAAAAAAGCAAAACGTGCCATTTTTACACCTCCATTCTTGCACACATTAAACAAATGATTCATAATTAGTGAGCTAGTGAGTGAGTTGTTAAAAGATGCCATTATACTGTAGATGAAGTGGGCTAATGAGAGTATGAATATGGCAGCTGTGACCCGAGTGATTAATTAATGGACTGATTAATATTGACTGAATAGCAAATTGATTAAGTTGATTGTTAACTTGATACTCTCAAACTGTTCATGCAATGCAGTAGAAGGATAATTTAGAAAAGTGCCTGCGATGCAGAACTGAACTTCACTGCACCGTGTGCTGGTGCTCCACTTACCACGGAGGCTGGATACACACAGTGAGCAGTACCAGTTAAAAGTCCTGGGAGGCCTCTAGTTGTCATAAAAATACCCCCCCTACAGTCACGATCTTTGCTAATGCATGAGGCTCTTTTTCTTCCTTTAGATGTCAGTTCATTTGTAGTGGGAGCAAAAGAAGAGATTCCCTAAGGAGTGGATTCACAGTAACGCCTGCCAGTTTCTTCTGTCAGCTGGTGCTTTCATTTAGACACTCTTGATGAAATTCAGTATCAAGATGAAACAAGCTGCATGTAGCGGTTAGGATTTTACTTCATCTTCATGAACGATTAGACATAGAGGAGCAGGATGAATATATTTATATATGATATACATAATAAGACAAGAAAAAATGAAATCTAAAACTTAAAATTTAGGTGTTTAACGTATTAGTGTCAGGCATTAGTGTCAAACTGTAGACAGATGCAACTTGTGATAAAGATAAACTTGTGCTCCGGTTAGATTCAGATAAAAACATTGAGTTGCATTTTGCATTCACCCACAAGTCATTTTTATGGAAATGTTCCTCACAGCTTTATTATTAACCACCAGTTATACATGAATCCATATTTACATGATAGCATCACACAGTTGCTTCAGATTTGTTGGCTGCACGTCCATGATGCGAATGCCCCGTTCCACCAAATCCCACAGGTGCTCTATTGGAGTGAGATCTGTTGACTGTGGAGGCCATTTGAGTCCAGTGAACTCACTCTTATGTTCAAGAAACCAGTTGGAGATGATTGAAGCTTTGTAACATGGCTTGCTATCCTGCTGGAAGCAGCCATCATCAGATGGGCACACTACGGTCATAAAGGGATGAACATGCTCGACAACAACACTCAGATAGGCTGTGGTGCTGAAGGATGGTACTAAGGGGCCCAAACTGTGTCAGAAAAATATCACCCACACCCTTTCACCACCATCAACAGCAGCTTGACCCCTTAACAAGGAAGGATTCAGGCTTTGTGCTTATGCCAAATTGTGACCCTGGCTTCTGAATGGCTTCTATGATGGTAGCAGTAATCAGAACTCATCAGACCACGCAACATTTTTATAATCTTCTATTGTCCAATTTTGGTGAGTCTGTGTGACTTTATTTCTCTCTATTATTGTAGGGTCTTTACATTACAATATAAAGAACCTTGCGATGACTGTTGGTGTGGTTTGGCTTTATATAAATAAAGTTGTAGCCTCAGTTCTGTTCTTAGCTGACCAGAGTAGCACCTGGTGTGGCCTTTTGGTGCAGTGTTGTGCATTAAGATATGTTCTTCTGCATACCTTGGTTGTAACAACTAGGTATTTGAGTTACTGTAGCCTTCCCATCAGCTTGAAGGTGATTCTGCCATTACCTCTGGCATAAAGAGGACACCTTTTGCTCAGAGAACTGCTGTTGCAAACCAGTGTAAATCCTAGAAATTGTCATGTGGGAAAATTCAAGTAGATCAGCAGATTCTGAAACACTCAGACCAACAGCAATGCCACATGTAGAGGCACTTAAATCACTTTTCTTACTCATTCTCGTGGTCAGTTTAAACTTCAGCAGGTCATCTTGACCACATCTACGTGATTACATGCCCCCACTTGCTGCCATGTGATTGGCTAATTAGATTTGTGTCTAAACAAGCAGTTGAACAGGTGTACCTAACAAAGTAGCTGGAGAATGTGTAGATTTGAAGAAGTATAATAGCTAAGAAATTAACAAAGTTGCCAGTGTTGTAGCATGAGCATAAATGTATGCAGCTCTCTTTCCTTTCAGAGAACACTCTTACATGGATCTTGCTACTTTATGATGTTGAAGGTCAATCAATTCAGACAAGAGACTCTCAGAAAACAGCTAGAAGCATCAAACTTTAGATCATGGGTTGGATTATATCCACAACTGGTTATAAATTTGTCCTCATCGCATCGCATCACAGAGTTTACTGTAAACATCCATTCTGTGAAACTGTAGAGAAGTGTGTGTGTGTGTGTGTGTGTGTGTGTGTGTGTGTGTGTGTGTGTGTGTGTGTGTGTGTGTGTGTGTGTGTGTGTGTGAGAGAGAGGCATTTGTGCTCTTTAGAGAGGTCTCATTGTCTAACCCTGGCAAGTAAACACATGCAAACTGTCTGTTTTAGACTCTGAAGTTTATGGAGCTGTGTTAGTACTGAAATGTGGACCTAAGGAGCAGCTTTCGGGCTTGTTCTGTAATTTGATTAGTTCTCAGCAGAGTAAATGGGAGTCTCATGTCAAAAGTTTGAAATTTGTTCAGTCTCCAAATCATTCATCCTTAAAAAAAGCTGAGTAACTCACAAACACAAGAGACATCTGTAGACAAAAACAGAAATTGTATCTTTTCTGTGCCCATGCACGTCTGTCCTGTCCACCACTGAAAGTGATATCGAAATGCTGCTAGGTCTGACCCTACCTCTGTGGCTTCTGTTCATTCAGACATGACGATAAAGCTAATGGATAGTAGTGCACGACTGATAGAAGCTACAAAAAAATGTAAGATGCATCGTGTGTAATGAATATGAAGTCCATCCATTAGTGTATGCAAAGCAGCAAGATTTAGTAGTGAGATGGCATCACGTAGCAAAGAAATGAAAAGAATATGTAGATTACAGTCTGGGCATATATAATCAGATCTATTCCAGTGCAGATGCTAATGTTTAATTGTGCAATTAGTCCATACATAATTTAAAGTCCAAACCAGAGTCCAAACTTTATCACCATTTGTGACCATCTATCTGTTCCTATTAATGTGATCGTAGAGATAATTTGCAGAATGGATGAATGGAGTAACTTCTCACACTTTCCAAAGATAAATGCTGATTCTTAGAAGCAGGAGGGCAGGCTAGATTCAATAAGAGTTGGCTGCTTCATTAATCTTCTGGTGGACTGAAACCGGCGCCATTTTGGTGGGCAGCGCTGCGCAGTGTGGTGGCTGTCGGCGCAGTGAGTGCCTAAAGTAGTTTGTGTTTTTGTTGCAAAATCAGACACTAAAGATGTATGAGTGAATTAGCTGCATCAACTACTTGTGTCTTCAGCATATTTCCCAGGTACCTGTCTCTTCTTAACACATAGCCCATGCTTTTAAATGTGGTTTAAGATGCTTCAGTGGCAGTGGATCAGCGTTCTTTGTTATGTGAGAGATTAATACTACTGGCTAACAAGGATACTGGAGCATCATGGTTACGATAACAGAACAGTACAGGACGTTTTCTGTAGCTAGCGAGATACTAGGAGAGTACATCCTGTGCTGAAGATAGTGCCTTACTTTACTGTTGTTTTTTTCTTCTTTTTTTGGAGAGTGATCCAGATCCCCACTTTAAAGACTTCTTCTTCTGCCAGTGCGCTGCCTCTCTGCTGAGCTTTCTAATATGCAGCCTGGTAGCTTTTGCTTAATGTTGCAGTGAGCAGGCAGTTAGCTTAGTTTGGCCAAAAGAGTGGAAACAAGGAGAAACAGCTTGTGTGGCTCTTTCAAAAATGAGACTATTTACAGCATCGTGGTTCATACTTGAGGTTGATCGTTTTCAGCACCATACTAAATCCTCTTTGACTGTGTAAGTTTCCTTCCTTCCCTTCCCCCCTCCTTGCCATGTGGGTGGTATTGGAGAGTACATTTGCCTGTGGTTCTGGGTCAGGTTTGTTAGCTGGGCACGTTTTTACAAATTTGGCAAAGAATCAAGGTCTGATTGCAAAACTGAGTAACATAAGTGTTTAAATTAGCTGCTTCGAATGATATTAAAACTCCAGATCATTTTTTGTTTTTCACCTTTTATTTTTGTTGAGAAAAAAAATCAAATTTTCACACAATTATCTGTTGGGAGTTAATAAAACTCTTAATCTGGCAAAACAAACAAACAAAATGGTATATGATGTTTGTGTAATTTATCTAAAAAAAAGAGTGTAAAAAGAACAGTTCACTTTTGTGTTATGGGTTAGAAGATGGTCTTCACCAAGAAATAGTCAAGGACACGAGTCACTATAAATCTTTTCCATTTTATGAAATGGAGCGTGCTTTGTAATGGCACCCAGCACACTTCTTCCCTTCCTGTTCATAAAAGTCTTGTCTTGCTGGGCAATGAGGGTCCATAAATTGGATTCAGACATCATGCTCTGCCTCTGAAACAATCTTTACTTAAATATGACCGTTTCAAAAATTCATATTGGGAAAATGAGAGAGAACGCCGTAACAGATTTTGGATTTAACATTAACAGAAACTTGGTCTTTCTAAGAAGCTGAATTTGAATTCGGTACATGCTGTCATACCTGGGGAATGTCACACTGAAGTTGGATGAAAATGAGTTGGGGGTTTTTCAAGTATTCAAGCTTTAATATCAGTGAAACCAGTAACCTGATTTGAACCGTTTTAAAGAATGTTATGTTGCTTGTATATGAGAACCTGTACATAAGGGACTTCCTACAGATCCCCAATAATCTCTCAGAGATCCAAATTTTTTATCCAGATATTTTAGGGACTTCAAGCATCCATCATTCTGTGTTAACTTCAGCTGCACTCATGAGAATCCATATTCACAGAGCCACAGTACCTAAAAGATTTGAAGGACCTATCTGAAGCACTTTTCCAGATAATGGAATCTTTCAAATAGCCCCTGAAAAAACGATGCCAGAAAAACATCTCAAACCAGCTCTGCCTTCATCTCTTGAAATCCTTTGTTTTTTTGAGAAAACTAATGAAAGGAGGGACCTGAAATCTTTTCTTAAAAACTACTAGCATGTGCATTTTTACCCTGGATGTTTTTTTTCCAGGAAAATCTGTAAGATCACTTGGGAGGCATTTGACGAACACACATAGAATGACCCATTTACATTTTCAATGAGAGAGCTTCAGAGGTGCTAGTAGTCTGCTTTAGTTACTGTTAAAAAAAACATTTAAAAAAATGAAAAAACAAAGGAAAACAACTGGCTTGACTGTGTTCAGTCATTGTGACGATCTAACTAGCTGTGGATCTTGGGCGGTTGGACCAAAAATGGGTGTCGTTGCCTTGGTACCACTGTATGTGTGCATATTTCCTGATGTCATTCCTCCACATCACCCTCTTGCTCTTCCTCCTCCATCTCTCAGGTCATGAAAGGCAGCAGCTAAGGATCACCTGCATGTCATTCAGATTTTCACTCTATGTGTTTATCCATGTCTTTTCATTTAATCAATAGCTATTATTAATTTCTGGCTATCTTACACAATTTTATCATGTCTTCCTCACCCTCAACAAACAAATGGCTCCCCCTTCCTGAGCCTGGTTCTGCAGGAGGATTCTTCCTGTTAAAGGGAATTTTTTCCTTCCCACTTTCGCCAAGTGCTTGCTCATCTGATTGTTGTTGTTGTTGTTGTTTTATTATTATTATTATTATTATTATTATTATTATTATTATTGTAGGGGTCTTTACCTTACAAGACAAAGCACCTTGAGGCGACTGCTGCAGATTTGGCACTATATAAATAAAAGTAATTTGAATTGAAATATCAGTCTTAAGTTTGTCATGTCCATGGCCGAGTTACATCCAGAATTTGTGACTTTATAATTTTCTGACACACTTGATATCAGAGGAAAATCCTGTGAAAATAATTTAAACCTGGCATGATATTTCCTTCACAGACTAATTTTATTTTCTGCCAGAAAGCAATTAAGAGTAGCGATACCTTTAGCGTTGAAAAGGCTTTTAAACAGGTTCTAATGAGCTGCTTGTGATTAAATTGTGTAAGTAATGCCATCAGGGACACTGGAGGCTTGACCTTTAAAGTGATGAATGATCAAAGGGGGCTATAATCAGCTAGACTTTCATCAACAGGGAACATATAGATGGTCAGTGAGTGTGAGATAGGTTGACCTGTCAAAACGTCCAAGAGTTTCTGTGTCAAACTGGCTGAAAAACATGTTTTAACTCTTTAACTGTGTCCCCTCAGCCATTTGGCCAGGTTGTCTTTAGCCAGCAGTCTTTCTCATCCCACTCCCACACCTCCTTCACACTGTTTTGCTGCAGACTGTGTTCCATCCTCTCGCTGTGGATGTTCTTTCAATCCTCAGTTTTCACCACTTGTTTTCTTGCTTGATATTTACAGTCATTTTATGCATGTTCTTTGTCCTGAAAGCTCCCTCCCGCTTCTGCAATATCTCATGCTGTACTCTTTCACAGTATACTAACAGCTCATCCCCCACACAACTTTCTTTTATCCTAATTGCAGTGTTCACACCGTGATTGATATTTGTTGATCCAGAGAGCCCATCATTGTTTACTAGGGAGTCCAATGAACAGGTTATATGTGTTTTTGATGAGCCTGTAAATTAGAATATCAACAGGCCTCGGCAGCTTTCACCCACACTCGCTCACTCTGCTGCTGCAAGCTGATGGACACATGTAGAGATAGTAAATGTGTCAGAAAGGGATCTGATCAGCCAAGTGTGAGCTGTATCTACTGGAGTATTTTCAAAGAAGCAAGCTCAGTGTGTCTTTCTCGCTGTTCCACAGAAAGCAAAGCGAGCGATGGTTTGGCAGAATGACATGCAATAATGCAAGATGCAAATATATTTTACATTGTTTGGCTCATGTCTGAGTGTAGAGAAGTTTTTGATTTGTTGTGTTGAAGGATGCTGCAGCCAGGATCTTCAGGATGTGATTAAAACTTCTGCTTTAAAGCCTGTCAGCCCATAACAGTGCAGATCTATGCTGATATGCTCTCTCACATGCTCTGAAATTACCAGTGATTTCATTTAATGTCATTACATGATTATAGGAA